GGGAAACACAGAATCTGAAGCAGGCTCCAGGCTCCTGAGCTGTCAGCACAGAGACCGATGCAGGGCTTGAACCCACGGACCCATGAGATCATAACGTGAGCTGAAGTCAGATGCTTAACCAACAGAGCCACCCAGGCGCCCCTCTGGGTGACCTACAATTAAAAGTAAATAAACAAGATCATTGTCAAAGAGAAGTTCATGCTATGGAAAGAAAGAGGATGATAGAACACATGACCCCGATGATAGAGGTCTGTGTCCAGGATGAGTACGTAAGGCTCAGTTCCCAATTCTGGGGTCACAGAGAAGACCACGTGAGTCACAGAGAGTGACCAGGCAGCGACAGAAGGCTGAGAGGTCAGCAAAACACCTGCAATTGTTGCATGACAAGCTGAGACCTAAGTGACAAGAATGATCAAGTCGGCTGAGAAGTAGGGGAAGGTGCCTTTCAGGTGAAGGGGACATGTGCAAGATCCCCGGATCTGGCATGCTTGGGGGACAGACAGAGGCCTGCACGTCCTGCAACATAATGGGAGAAAAAGGGAGAGTTACTGCACAAGACGTGAGGGGTGGGCAGAGGTCAGATCACACAGGGCTTCGTAAATCAGGGTGAGGGTGTAGATTTCATCCTAAGCGTATCAGCAAGCTTTGGAGAGTTTCATGAAGGGGACTGATAGTATTTTTATTGCAACGTGATCATTCTGGGCACTGTATAGAGAATCAATTTTAAGAGAGGGCATTGTAATTGTACAATCAAGAGACAATGGTTTGTACAACTGGTTTGGACAGAGTGTACCAGAAGTGGAGAGGAGTGAGCTGGAAATACATGTTAGTAGTAGAGTCAGAAGATGGATGAGAAAGAGGGAAGTCAATGATAATACTTGTATTTCTGATTTGGAGAACTGGCAGATGGTAAAGGGAAGGCTTGGGGCAGAAATCGAGGGGGACCAGGAGTTTGGGATATATCATTTTGAGATTACTATTAGGCAACCTGGATATATACACGAGGAGTTGAGGGAAAGGAGTTTTATTGGTCTGAAAGTTCATCAGATGATAGCCAAAGCCATGAGCCTAGATGAGATTTCCTAGGGAGAGTGTCTAAATAGAAAGAATAGGGGAAACTGGGTGGCTCAGTCAGTTAAGCATCCGACTTTGGCTCAGGTCATGATCTCAAGGTCCAAGAGCTCGAGCCCCACATCCGGCTCTGTGCTGACAGCTTAGAATCTGCAGCCTGCTTTGGATTCTGTGTCTCCCTCTCTGCTCCTCCTCCTCCTCCTCCTCCTCTCTCTCTCTCTCTCTCTCTCTCTCTCAAACATTACAAAAATTTAAATAGAAAGAATAGAGATGCGGGGCTGTGCCCTGGAGCACCTTGGATTTAGAGGATGAGGAGATAAGAGGGGATTAGAGGAAGCCCAGAGAAGGAACATCCAGTGAGGTAAAGCAGTGCTTCTTAAACTACCGTCCAGGGATCATCTGACACTTGTTAAAAATGCTGAGGGTCATGGGGCGCCTGGGTGGCTTAGTCGATTAAGCGTCCGACTTTCGCTTGGGTCATGATCTCGCGGTTCGTGGGTTCGAGCCCCGCGTTGGGCTCTGTGCTGACTGCCAGCTCGGAGCCTGGAGCCTGTTTCAGTCTGTGACTCCCTCTCTCTGACCTTCCGCTGCTCACGCTCTCTCTCTCTCCTAGAAATAAATAAAAAACATTAAAAAATATATATTTAAAAAAAAAAAAAGAAATTCTGAGGGTCAGGTCACACCCCAGCTCTGCTGCCTCAGCCATGCCAGCAGTGAGGCCCAGACATCATTAATGCTTTCACTATGCTATAGACGAAACCAGTGAGGTGGAAGGCAAACCAAGGAAAGGTGTGTTTTGTTTTGTTTGTTTAAGAGAGACAGAGCACAAGCTGGGGAGAGGAGCAGAGAGAGAGGGACAGAAGAAGAGAATCCCAAGCAGGCTATGCACTGTCAGCAAAGAGCCCAACGTGAGGCTCAAATTCACTAACAGTGAGGGCTTGGCCTGAGCCGAAATTAAGAGTTGGCCACTTAATTGACTGAGCCACCCAGGTGGTCCAAAAAGGTGTGTTTAAAAAAATTTTTTTTAATGTTTATTTATTTATTTAAAAAATGTTTAATGTTTTTTATTTATTTTTGAGAGAGAGAGAGACACCATGAGCAGGGGAGGGTCAGAGAGAGAGGGAGACACAGAATCTAAAACAGTCTCCAGGCTCTGAGCTGTCAGCAGAGAGCCCAAAGCAGGGCTTAAACCCACGAACTCTGAGATCATGACCTGAGCCGAAGTCAGATGCTTAACTGACTGAGCCACCCGGGCGCCCCTTTAATGTTTATTTATTTTTGAGAGGGAGAGAGAGATAGAGCATGAGCAGGGGAGGAGCAGAGAAAGAGAGAGAGGGAGACACAAAATCTGAAGCAGGCTCCAGGCTCTGAGCCATCAGCACAAACCCCAATGTGGGGCTCGAACTCAGGAACCTTTGAGCTGTGAGATCAAGACCTGAGCCGAAGCCTGCTGCTTAAGGGACTGAGCCACGTAGGCACCCTGGAAAGGTGTTTTGAAAGGCAAGACAAAGAAATCTTTGGAGAAGGAAGGAAGGGTTACCTACGTGTCTGTGTAGCTGGGAGCTCAACTCAGATGAATGCAGAGGCCTGGCCATGAAGTGTCATAACGTGGAGGTCACTGTTGGCCTTGACAAGAGTGATCTGTGCAGTGAAGTGGCAGCAATGGCAGAGGGGGAACCAGTGAAGGAGTGAAGAAGAGAGGGAGTGAGTGGCAGAAAGACTATGGACCCCATGTGCAATAAAGGGTTAACTCAGCCGCCTTAGGATGCTCAAACCCTGCACATCCCCCCAAAAGGCCTTGACCTGGACCAGTGGCTGCTAGATAACGTCTGAGTCCTTGGAACATCCTGCCTGATAAGGGTCATATCAGAGGATGTATGCTAACTGATTTATGGAAAGCACCTGCTTTTATTTGCCTGGGGCTCTGGATCCCTTTTACCTCCAGGTGTGGGGGCGGGAGACTGGGTAGTTGAGGCTCACATGGGTGCTCCACGCCTACGTGACTGACCCCGAGTACAAACCCTGGGCACCAAGGCTCAGGTGAGCTTCCCTGGATGATGATTTTCTGTACAGGTGTCACACATCACTGCTGGGGGCAGGGGAGGGGGGGGGATGAGCAGTGTCCAGGACACCACCTCCCCCCCCCAGAAGGGAACACTTGGAAGTTTGCTCCTGGTCCCTCCTGGACTCTGCCCTATGTCCCCTTTCCCTCTGGATCTGTCTACTGTAACGGACCCTAATCATGAGAAGAACAGCCTCTCTGAGTCCTGTGAGTCCTTCTAGGGAATCATCAACTCTGAGGGTGGGTGGTCCTGGGGACCCTGACACACCTGCTTTTTCAAGAAGTCTTGCAGTGAAAGTGGCAAAGAGAGCAAGAGCCGAAGGAGGGCGTCGGGGCCTGGGGTGGCGGAGATACAAGGCCACATTCACAAGCCTGTTGGAATGACGACGTAGACAAGGTGAGGCTCGTGGTTCAGGAGACGTGCTCTTGAGAAGGCGAACGGGGTGGGTCCACTCTGCTAGGCACAGGGACAGACCACTCTGAGTGGCAAGGGGGCAGTCAGAGAACGTGCAGATCCGTAGACAGACTTGGTGAGGTGACGATCATTGGCTTCCTCGGAGGACTATGGGGTAAGGTCACCCTGGAGGGTGCAGGGCTCTGGGATGTCTGGGGAGACAGAGGGGGTGATCTTTAGCTGTTTTGGAGAGCAAGCCCCTCACACAAGGCAGGTGCTAGACTCCCGGGCGGGCAGAAATGCCCCTTGGAGACCTCCGGCCGTGAATTTAGAATGAGCGTCAAGGTGCATCAGAGCCCAGTACCGTTCTGCGGGCGAGAAGCAGGTGGGTCCCGGGATTAGACCAGGGCTGGACACGGCCAGCTGAGCAGGACAGAGGGAGAGAGGGTGTTTGTAAGTCGGCGCAGGAGAGGAGAAACCAAGTTTCTTCCTGCAGCTTAATTTTGCTCGGTGGTAAGTAATTAAAAGCAGTATTTTCAAACAAATCTGGATTCATTTTGGAGAATGAAGAAAGCACATGAATTTTTCAGATCACTCAGTAGATGTCAGCTATGCTTTTCCTGTTTCAAGTGCTGCTTCCAGCTAACCCGCCCCCCCCCCCCCGGTCTTCACAGGGCGAGTTCACTTGGGTGGGAAATTTGGGAAGCTTTGGGAAAGCCTGGGATGGCATGTCCTACTGAAGGGATCCCCTGACCCAATTGGGCCCCTGGCCTTTCACAGGGGCTGTCTGAGGACACGGGTCCGACTACGAGCAGTGACAATATTGATGGAGCAGGAGAGTGGAGGCCATGCCCCTAAGATGGGGTGGACAGGGAGGGCTGGGGACCAGGTCAACACCTCCCAGGGGTACATAGGGTGGGTGCTGGAGGGGGGCGTGGGGTAGCAGACTAGACTCTGGAGCAGGGGCAGGCTGACATACAACAGTCCCTCACTCTCTGCTACCCCATCTCTCTAGGACCCGGGGGAGGCTACGCTCTGGGGGTCCAGGCAGGTGCCTCGGGCAGATCGGGTCTCAGGGAACAAGTCAGGGACCTGGTTCCCAAAACTGGGGCACGAGGTGGGGATGGGGTGTTGGGAATGAGGCCAAAGCCCAGTTATCAGAACTGGGACACTTTCCGTGTGGGACTTGTGTTCTTTACATCCTTGCTGCATAAATCCTGGGAAACGGGGTGTGTCTGCTCCTGGGAGCAGCACTATTCGTCCAAGAGGCAAAAGTGGGGTTGGGTGTGGCTGTGGGGCACCGCCGAAGCACCTGCTCTGCCTTTGGCTACTTCCCTGCTCCAAGTAGCCCCCCCGTTCCTGCCTGCCCCCCCCAGACTAGCTCCACCCTTGCTAGAAGCAGAGCCTCAGAGTAAACATTGTTTATTTTGAACATTCAAATTTACAAAAACAAAAAAGTAACAAAAACCCATGACATATCTCATACACATACACACATACACACACACACACACACACACACACACACACACGTTGCATCTCATGTCACTATGTACAAAATTGGGCAAGGAGAAGGGGGGTGGGTCACCAGGAAGGTGCACTAATTTCACAGTGTCAGACAGCTGGACACGCTCACTCACTGCTCAGCCTGGGCCCACACGAGCCCCTTCCCCACCCGGCGTGGGTGAGGTGGGATTTGGGGTATCAGGCAGCTGCGACAGAGGGGAAGAGAATGATCCCCAACTTTGGGAGGGGACCCCTTCTCCAGTCTGCTCAGGGCAAGGTGCTGGGAAATGCAGAGGAGCAGGGACTCAGTTCTTGGGGGCGGGGGTAGGGACCACTGTCAGAAAGCTGAGATCAGCTTCAGGGGTCCTGGCTGGGTGGCCCCGAGGGGCACTCACCTTCCCTGGGTCCCCACATCTTCATCTGTGAAACAAGACTTGGGCCTCTTGAAGAATCCTTCCTGCCCATGCTGTGGTCCAAGGTCATGCACAATTATGGCAAGGTGATCTGTCCCCTGGGGATGTTGATTGGGGGTACAGCGTGCCACAAAGGTGGGGAGATCTGGCAGATAAGAGCTGTGAAGCACCTGGCGCAGGGCTTAGCCCAAAGCAGGAGTCTGAGAAACATCATTTCTCCCCCTTCCCTGGTTGGGGCTCTTGGGAGACTATCTGGCTTCCTTTTCCCTTTCATTTCTCCTGGAAACTCTAGCCAGCTGCAGAAGGGCTGAGGTGGCGGGCACACTTCAGAGGCCCATGTTCTCTGAAGGGGCTGAGACCCCTCCTCTGGCCTCACCCAAGGGGACCTTGACCCTGCGGCCAGCCCATCCTGGGCCTCTGCCTTCAGCACAAACCCTGTGAGGGTAGCAAATGGGGTAAAGCATCTCTTTAGGCCAAAATCCGCTGGGAGCAACAATGCTAAGTGTTCCTCCACAGAGAGCAGGGGCGCTCATCCCTTTGGTCCTGGGTGTAACCTGTTTGGTTTGAACCCTGGACTCCATCACCTGCCAGCTGATTGACACTGGGCAGATTACTTAACCTCTCTGTGCCCCAGTTCCCTCCCTTGTATAATGGGGCCCAGAACCGTTCCAACCTACTGTGTTGCAGAGATACAGGAGATGATGCCTGTGAGGTGCTCAGCACAGCGCCTGATACTTAAGGTTGTAACAAACCCAGGCTCTGGGCACCGTCATTAGCCACAGCAGCTCAGGGACACAAGCAAGTGACATTTCTAGCTCCCCATTCCCCATCTTCTTGGCTGTGCCCAGGAGCAGCTGAACACAACCAAAACTGGAGTCCAAATGGCAGGCATTGGGCAGAGGTGAAGAACGATCAATGGACGAAGCGGGGGTGGGGACCCCAGGACTTTCATCTTCCTGGAACGGGAATGGGTACCCAGGCCACTGGCAAGTGGCCTAGACTCACAGCCTGCACCTGGACATCCCCAGCTCGTTCCTGTTCCCTCTCGAGGGCTGACCAGGGTGACTCAGCACAGGACTGAGGTCAGATGTCTCATCATGACCATGACAAAGCATAACGCACTTGGGATGATGCCTCTCTCTGGGTGGGCTCAGCGACCAAACAAGTTCTGTCACTTTCCTCCGAAGACCCTTTCTTTCCCCCAAGGCCTCCACAAAAGCTGCTTCCTTAAAAACAGTAACGGAAACGCAGTAAAGCCCAGTGCCCGTGCAATCTGAGTTCTGAATTCCGCTGTCACTGCAGCAACAGCATATGTCATGAAGAGACGCTTGACCCAACACTTGGGCTGATGTCGTTGGCTGTTACCGGGGCAACCCAGGTCTCAACAGGTTTGGGCGGAAGCAAGCCATCCTGCTTCTTCTAGGGGGAGCTGGGCTGGGGTGCCCGACGGTCTATTTGTGCTCTTGAGATGGAAACAAGGATCTGGGGGATGGAGGCCACATGTTTTGGAGAAGCCTCCACGGCAATGGCCCCACAGCCTGCAGCTCTTGCGTCATGCCTCGGGTTACAGGGTGATGGGGAGCAGAGATGGGGAACAGAAAGCGGGGTAAAAGGCACCTGTACCTGCTCGAGCCCCCGTAGCATGCAGCTGCCCAGACACCTGGTGGGGACTGGCAGAAGGGACACCCGTGTTTTCAGCTTTCCATTCCTGCCAGAGTGCCTGGGGATCACACCTGCCCTCCCCCTCCTTCTTGGCGGGACTGGATGCCAAGATGCTTCTGTGCCAGAAAGGAAGATGTTCATGTTGGAAAGCCTTCTGACCTCTCAAATGTCCATCCTCTCAGGTGAAGGCTGGACTCAAAGACACTCATGGACAGGCAGTATGGCACCGGAGGGGAAGAGCACTGAAGAGGGATTCAGAAGCCCTGGGTTCTAGTCCTGGTTCTGCCCCCACTGTGCTGTGCGATCCCGTGCAAGGCATTTGACTTCTCTGAGCTCTTCCCCATCTATACGAGCAAGAGGTCAGACTGAGAGGCTTTACTCAGCTTTTACATCCTTCTACTGTCTTGGGGGAGTTGGTGAGGACTCGGTGGGGGGGGGGACCTCGATGCCACCATCCCTTTCAGATACTCTCAAACAGGCAGGGGTGCCAGGCTGGGTGGGGGTGAAGGTGGATTGGAATCCAGAAAAGCTGGGTTTTATAATCTGTGCATGACGTTGGTCTGCCTGGCTCCCTGCCCTTGCCCTGACTCTCTGGAGCCAGCTACTGACCCTGACCCACGCCCAGCCAGATCCCATCGGCTGCCAACTCTACCTCTGGCATGTCCCCTGGCTGCTCGGCAGCTTCAGGCTTGCCCCACCCTATCCACCTCGAATCACAGACCATCTCACGTGTGATCTAGAGAGCTCTCAGAAATGACCAAAGCAAGGGCCTCGGCTCACAAATGAGGAAGGACAGCCCAGAGAGAGCAGGGACTTACAGAAGGTCACGCAGCAGGCTCGCAGCAGGGCTGGCTGGGAACCACGGGTTCCTCCTCCTCGTCCAGTGCTCTGGACTTCTTCCCTCTTTGCCCGCTTTCCTCCCTCCCTTCCCCCAGAGGCTGCAGGGCCACACAGAAGGGTTAGGTCATGTGGCTCTTCCATAGCCTGGGTCCCCAGGGCACAGCGCCTCTGCCTCAAGGTGCACCTAGCTCAGGCCGAAGTAGCCCAGGTCCTGGCCTGGGCACGGAGGAGGAGGGTGACCTGCCAGTTAGCACACATGTGGGCAGCTACAGGGGGGGACTCTGGCCTTTTGGCCTCCTAGGGTCTTGGTCCCCCAGGCTGGAGCCGGGAAAGGGAATGTCCTGGAAACTGAGGCGGGGGTGGGCCAGGCACGGAACCAACATTCAAACCACTGCACACAAAGAAACAAGGAAAGAGGAGGAAGAGAGGATGCAGGAAGCTCCATCAAGATCCTGTGGCCCCTTCATGGGCAACTGGCGGACAGATGGAGGAGGGGTGAGTCTGAGTCTCCTGTGTCTGTGTCATGCCCTTCTCAGCTGAGGGGACAGCTCTAGAGCTTGTTGTGGCCCTGGAGGGGAAGGGGCCAGGCCTGTTGCATGGGGGACAGGAGGGCAGATAGCTGCACCTGCCACTGAGATAGCGGGCCCTTCCCCCCACCCCCCTACAAGCCGGTGGGACGTGCGGTTGAGATCAGTGGAATCGGATGTGGCTGATGGGCCAGGGTGGGTGGGGGTGAGAGGCAGCTCTAGTGTGACGCCAAGAGAGGGGACAGAGCTGTGGGCACTGCTACCACCCCCACCAGGCTCTGGACTCACCCCAGGCTTGACCTGCTGGCTTGAGCTGCTTGTCCCCATCCACGTGGGGTTAGGGGTTAGCCATTGCAGGGCAGTGCATTCTGGAGGTGTAGTATGGGTGGGGGAGACAGGAGGGACAGCCAGGAGCAGGGTGGGAGGGGGAGCAGTGTGTGGATAGGCTGAGGACGGAATGTGTGCCCCCACAATAAGGTCCCCAAAACGGCAGGCAAGGGAGGGACCCTGGATGAGGGTCCCTCATGCCTTGGCCCTCCCCTTGCAGACATCAAAGGCGGCCTTTTTTGCACCCCCGAAGGCCTCCACCAGCTTGTCTTCCCAGGGAAGGACGTTGCCCAGCAGCGGCCCGGTACAGTTGGCGATGCCCAGGACCTGGGCAGGCGTCAGGGCATGGTCCCACAGGTTAAACTGGGCGATGTCACCCACGAAGGCCTGAGTGGCATCAAACCGGCCGCCCAGGGTATCCTGGGCCAAGAGAGGAGGAGAGAAAGGAGAGAGACATGGAGTGAGGCAGCGGAAAAGACAGGCTGACTCAATCAGGGCCCAGGTCCTGCAGAAGCCCCACCCCCCCTGAAAGTTCTAGTCCCATCCCCACATTTGACTCTGTCCCCAAGGCCCCAACCCCTTGGGCAGGTCTCTACTCTCTCTGGGTCTCAGTTTGCTCATCTGCAGAATGGCTAGGTCAGACTGAGTGATCACTGCTGTGCTTTTAGGGTCCCTCTACCTAACCTCTCCTTCTCAGGGGCCCTGGGTGAGTGAGGTATCTACTTAGGTCTCATGCCCCCATGCTACCCTGCACCTTACCTGCTCCTGGCCCAGGATAAGGATTCCATGTGGCTTGATGGGGTGCCAGGCGGCCAGGTTCTCACCGGAGCCCTGCAGCTCCCCATCCTGGTAGGCAGACCACAACCCGTCCCTTGTAGTCCAGGAGATGCAGATGTGGTGCCAGCCATTGTCCTTCAGGCTCAGAGGCAGCTGGGCCACCTGGACATAGGTCCCGCGACCCAGGTCAGAGGTGCTACAAGTCCCAAGGCTGGACCAGTGAGGAGGTGGGGGCAGGAGGGGGGGCGACCAGGAGACCCGTGTTCTTCTTTCTGGGGACTGGCCCAAGGCTTGACCCTCCCCTTCCTCCCAGCCCAGCATCTTTCTGTGCACTTTTTCATCTTTCCCCACAACTTAACCAGGCAGCTTCTCTTGGATCAAGAGGGACTAGTAAGTATTGGTTTTCAGGTGTTTCTAGCTAGTTTATTCACCCTCCCACAGGGGGCGGGGCGAGAGCCACATCCCACAATCTCTGAACACCTCACACGGTGCCTGGCATGCCGCTGGGCTCACGCTGGTAGTGGCGGAATGAGCCTCGGGCTCTATGGCTGGGCACTGGCACCCAGCCCTGGTTCTGCCAACCAACTGCCCATGGGACCTCGGGGAGGCTGCTCTTTCCTCCCTGGGTCTCTGTTCCTCATCTGTGAAAGGAGGAGGTCAGGCCAAAGAGTGGCAAATAGGGTGGCCACCTCTGCCTCCTCCACCCAAGCCAGAATCACGAACCTAGGCTCAGCCTCGGGATCCTTCCTACCACAGTGCCCTGGGAAGCCGCTGGTGATTGATTCGAATTGGCCCGTGAGATGAAAGGTACTTGCTGCCTGTGGATTTGGGACTCCCGGGGGGGCTCTTTCATCTCCTACGTTCTGTGAGATCACGCTTGAATACAACATTCTCCGAGGCCTACTTGTTCTGGACACTGGGGATGTGGATCTGGTCCTAGCTATAAATGAGCCTGAGTCTGCACGGAAGGGAAGAGCTTCAGGGACAATATTGTAAGACAAAATACCAGGGGCCATTTGGGAGGCACAGAGGCTGTGAAGGCCCAGAGGAAGAGGCAGGTGTGGGAACAGCAGACATAGTATTCAAACACATCTGGAAGGACAATGGATCTGACCACCCCAGCAAGTTGGGGGCACAGTAGATGCAAAGGCTAAGGGGCTGGAATAAAAGGAGAACTGAGTAATTCCTGAAGTCGACGCTCTGGACTCGAAGTTCCGGAATAGGACTGCTCAGTGCCCTGTCCAGGGTGCTGAACCCTTTCCACTGAGACCTGAGTGCCGAGGTTGAGCAGGGCCAAGGACGGCAGCCAGGGGGTGTATGAAGGGGTCACAGCAGCAGGATCTAGATGTTGTCCAGCTACCACAGGCTTCTTAGGACCTACTGGGGCCACAAGAGAAACTTCTGTCGTCTGGGCCCACCTCCTTCCTCCTCCTCTAGGACACTCATGAAAGACACCACCTGCTGAGCTGGTTTCTGATGGGTGACACCCACTCCTAGCGGCTCTATGTGGCTGTTGGCCGGTCATGAATGGGTGTGATAGGTGGTGTCTGCATTTCCAGGGGGGTCTCAGAAGACCACTATGGCTGCAAATCCCAAAGCAATATGGCAGAAAAAGGAGGATATTTGAGGGGAACGAGGGTGATAAGACACTCCCTCTCTGGCTCAGTCACCATGCCCCTGCTATACCACTCCCCCATGTCCTTGCCCTGCCCTTCAGGCAGGCCCAGGGGTAGGGGATCCAGGCATGGGGAAGATGGGTGGCCCAAGGACACAACAGTGGAGGGGTTCACAGGGGCTTCTGCAGCCCAAGACCATGAATCTTATCACCACCCCTTCACCAGCTATGTGGCCTGTGTGCAATCCTTGCCTGCTCTGAGCCTCAGCTTCTCCATGTGCAAAACTGTAAGGTAAGGGTGCCTACCTCCCCGTGCTGCTGGAGGGTGATTATCAAGAGTGATAATGTGAGTAAAGTGCTTATTAGCACTCGGCCTGGAATAATAACAACAGTAAACATGGGTCAAAGCTTGTTAAATGCTAGGCTTGCTCACAGCCCTTTACATGTATTTAAGCCACTTATTTCTCACCACAACCCTATGAGGTAGAGACTATTGTCATTACTCCTTGACAGATGAGGAAACCGAGGCACGGGGAGTGTAAGTGACCAGTCTAAGGTCATATAGCGGGTAAGCAGCAGAACAAGAATTCAAATCCAGCATTCAGGCCTGACCGTGGCATCATTCTACTCTCCTTGTGTGTGGGGGGGGGGCAGAGGAGGAAGTGGGCAAGGAGTCCACCAGCACTCCCTCCCCAGGTAGGTCCTTGGACCTCATTTGCTTCTCTCTTGGCCCAGGAGGAAGAGAGACAGCACCCTGGAACAAACGCTTCCAGCCCTGCTCCTACAGCTGGGTCACTGGGGAAGCCCCACAGGTCTCCCCTGTAAACAGACATGCCATCACTTCCAGCTCTCAGATCCAGGCCCCTCTTCAGCCAGCCCCAGGTCTGGCTTGTCTTTGTATTCCCAGAACCCAGCCTGGCACACAGTAGGCATTTCATGTGTGCTGAAGCTGCTGAGCAGAATTGAAAGGGCCCACAGGCTTGAGACCTAGCACAGTGCAGGTGCTTCTGGAAGGGTCACCCGCCCCTTTCCTCCCGCACTGCCCAGCCCCCCACTCACCTTGTCATTGATCAGCAGTTCCATGGGGTCGTGGCCCGCCTCCAGCAGCACGATTTCATTGGCCTGCCCGGGCACGGAGTAGGAGAAGGGTGTGCCCTGGCCATTGCCACCTGACCTGGACCTCAGCCACATGCAGACAGTGAAGGCGTAGAGCTCAGGCAGCGCCTTCCGCACACGGGCGTACATGTAGTTGTTGCGGATGGGGATGCTGATCTTGAAGGCATCTGGAGGGTTGTAGGCTGAGGACCCTGAGGGGGGTGGGCAAGGTGTACATAGTGGGGGTCAGTGGCCACTGACGGGATGGCCAGAGAGAATGGTGGCTACCAGTCCCTGGGCATCTGCCATGTACCAGGGGCCTTTGTGGCCTTCTCTACCCTGCCTCTGTGTTGATGGGTATGGTTAGAGCACAAGGGCTCTGGACCTGAGATCCTGAGTTCAAATCCTGCCTCCACACTTTCCAGCCATGTGACCTTCCACAAGTTCAACCTCACCTCTCTCGGCTCCAGTTTGCTCAGCAAAATGGCATAAATAAGATTTCCTCCCTCTCAGGCTTCTGTGAGGGGTGAATGGGATAAACTATGTAAAGGGCCTGGCCCAGAGTAAATTCTCGACAAATGTTAGCTATTCCATTACCATTTGTTAGAGTTCTTTGCCTGCTTATTATTTATTTTTTTGAATATTTATTTTTGAGAGAGAGAGAGGGAGAGGCAGAGAGAGAGTGAGCATGAGCTGGGGAGGAGCAGAGAGAGGGGGACCGAGAATCCAAAGCAGGCTCTGTGCCATCAGCATAGAGCCCAACGCGAGGCTTGAACTCACAGACTGTGAGATCATGACCTGAGTCAAGGTCAGGCGCTTAACCAACTGAGCTACCCAGGTGCCTCTCTTTGCCCATTTGTTTAACAAGCACTCGACAGTGCCTTCTACGTGGCAGGCACTGTCCTAAGAGCCTTTACATACACGATCTCCTTCACTCATGTGACAGCCCTATGAGGTAGACACTATTAAAATCCTCGTTTTACAGATGAGGAAACCTTGGCACAGAGGGGTTAAGTAATCTTCTCAAGACCATACAGCTAGTAAGTGGCAGACCTGGGATCTGAACAGGGTTGTCCTGGGATTCTTTGATATCCAGAGTTTCAGGGAATCTTTGCCTTAAGTATCAGAGGGCTTTCTATAGGCGTAGACTGGGGAGCCATCATCTCCAAGGGTGGGGGGTGATTCCCACCACACCCACGACTGGGGCAGGAGTTCCCCTCCTCCAGCTGGTTGTTGAGGGGGTGGCTAGAGGGTTAGGGCTGGGAATGGTGGACCCGGGTTCCCAGGTTTGGCTGGGGCTTGGGGTGAAGGCTAATGTGATGATACATCATGGTAAGCTAGCAAGGGGCTCAGTAACTGCCCCTTGAAACCCATTTCATAGATGAGTAAGTTGAGTCCCAAGAAGGGACTTGCCCACAGGCACACAGACATCCAGCCTAGTTGCCTCCCTCTTCTCTGGCCGGCAGCTGCTGGAGGGGGCATTTCCCCCAATCCTTTAGAAGACAGAGCATAGAGGGGCCAGTGGCAGAACTGAGGAGGGATTAGTTTGCCTTTATTGTCTCTGAGCTCCAGCTAGAAACCCACCAGGCCAAGCCTCGCCTTCAGCTGTGCCCCTGCTATGGCCCCTCAACTCCACAACTGACTCTCCCTCTTCCTCCAAGGGCTAGCTTGAGGCTCACCTCCTTCAAGAAGCCTCTTGGATTTCTTTCTCTTCAACTTCTGTCCCCATCTAAGCCAGTCCAAAATAATTACTCAGGATCCCCCCTGGTATCCCTAACATGTCTGTAAGCCTCTTACAGGGTGCTCCTCCCAAGATTTCAAAGATGAAAGATCTCTGAGAGCTCATAAGCCCTAAATCCCCATAATTTCAGATGAGAAAAAAATGAGGCCTGTGGAAAGGAAGCAAAATTCCAAAGTCTCAGCGCAATCCAGTGACAGCTGTGGAGCCTGGAGCCAGGTCTCCTGAGGCTCATATCTGTGGACTATCCATCACCCTGACCCCTGGGCAGTGCCAGGCCAGGCCCAGGTGTTTAACAAGTGACAAAATTTGGATTCACTGAAGGGGTGGTTAAGTGCATGGACTTTGGCATTAGACCCACTTTGAGGTCCAGATCCACACTATTCACTGGCTGTGTGACATTGGACAAGTCACTTGCCCTCTCTGAGCCTCAGTTTCCTTATCTGTGAAATGGGGATAATAACAGTACCATCCCTGCGTGGTTTGTGAAGATTAAACCAGCCGATGCGTCGAGTACTTAGCCAACTCCCAGAACATAATAAGTGCCAGAGAATGCTAACTGTTAAAAAAAATAATAATAATGATATTCCCCAATTATTCTCACCCTCTTGTGTTTTGCAGTCTCCTCCCCACCATCCCACCTAGCTTTAGCCTCTAGAGAGCATTAAAATGTTTTCAAGTGAATCTGCCACCTTGAGGACCCATCTGAGAACCCAGGCCTCGCCGGCTACGCCCTCTGCGGGGCCCCAGGACCCACCATGCTCCAGTTCGGCTACGCGGTCCTGTAGCGCATCCAGCTCCTTCTCCACTTCCTGACGTTGCCGGTGGCTGTTGTGACTGAGAGCCATGCGCTCCTTCTCCAGTGTCAGCACCTTGGCCAGCAGCTGGCCCTCCAGTTCGTCCATCTTGGAATGCAGGGTGGTAGGCACCGCAGGCGGAGGAGCTGGGGCAGCTGAGAAGTTCACACGGGTCGGGAGCTCCTGCTGCTTACAGGGCAGAAAAAAGGTGGGGGTAGGCATGTGAGGTCACTTGCAGGGAGGAAGGAAAGAGATAAGGGGCTCAGAGATGCCTACCACCCCTGGTGATTGACCCCAGATGAGCCTCAGTGTCCCCAAGTGCAAAATGGGGATGCAACACCAAATTCAAGCAACAAATGTTCAACGAAAGAGCAGGTTCTTTCCACTGTGGTGCATGATGGTAAGCTGACCTCAAGAGCACGTCAGCCTAGGGTGGGGTGGGGGGCTGGCAGTGGAGAGCTCTGAAAGCTCCCCTGGATGGTTCTACTGTTTCAAGTCAGGGTTGAGAGCCACTGCGGAGTCTTTCTTAACTGAAAGCCTGTACACTGATGGGTCCTTAAAGGAGTGGACTGTCTTAGTCTTCACTCATTCACTCACCAAGCTTCTCTAAGATGGTGTAAGGCTCTGTGTGAGCACTGGGCAGATAGATGCAGGGGCACAAACCAGGGGCTTCTGGAAGAGGGCTGCAATGGTATGCCCATGCCAGAGCAGCATGTGGTTAAAGTCATGGCTCTGGAGTCAGACAACCCAGGGCTCAAATCCAGCTCAAGAACCAATGTGCTACGCAACACTAGGCAAACGCCTCCACCTCTCTGAACCCCTGTTTCCTCACATGCAACAGAGGACAACTGTACCTATTTAGAAGGGTTGGAGATGACTAAGTAGTAAACACCAACGAACAGAGCCTGGTTATTGCAATTACTATCTAGGGCAGGGGGTTCTAAACTGGTTTCTGACACCCTCATCCTGCCTGGGGTGAGGACAAAGTGTTTAGGGTCCTCCTTTTCCTGTTAAGACCTCAGTGGGCAGGAGAATTGGGGCAGGAGCTGGGGGGGGGCTTCTCCTCTCCCTCTCCTGCTGGAGGAAGCCCCTTCTGGGGTGCAAGAAGGCAGGCGAGGCCACACGTCCAGACTCTGGGAGGGGTAGTCTCTGGCAGACATCGGGAACATCAGTAGAAAATTAATAATTCAGCGAGCTTCTAGGAGCCAAATTAGACCTTCCCTGTCCCCTTGGCTTGCTCCACACTCCCCAGGGGCCCAGGCAGTTCCCGGCTCAGTCAGCCCCGGGCCTTGCCCACAGGCTTAGCCCTAGACCTGAGCTCACTGAATTCTTCCGATTCCGTAAGTGAGCAAGCAAGTGGTGAGCGCCTACTATGGGCATAGCACGAGGTGTGGAAGAGAGAGCGGAGCGTCAGATGGACAGCCAAGAGCACAGCCTAACATTTCCCAGGTGCCCTGTGCTTCGTGGGATGGCCCCTGGCCCCTCAGCTTGGGGCAAGTACAGGAGACCCCTTGCTGGCCCCATTGGCCCCGCCCATTTGCCGGGTGAGACTGGCAGATCCCAGTGGATGGGATCTTGCTGGCCATGTGATGAGGGGATAAATGTGTCCCCCGCCTCAAAGTGCAGGGAGGGCGGGGTAAGGAGGGCAGTGCCTGAGGAGCTGGGGGCACCGACACGTGCTTCGGCCACTCCACCTCGAAAATGGGAGCAGGTGGGCTAACTTCTCTGGTGTTATTTTTCCTCATCTATAAAATGAGCACTTGGAATGCCCAGCTTGCGGAGCTGTGGTCAGGATTAAATGATGGTGGGCAGGAGAAAGGCCCAGACCAGGCCACCTTTATCCCTCACCACGTCCCACATAAGAGGGCACAGCCACCCATCCGTCTTTCTTCTGTAGTCGCCGGCTATTGGCGGGCCAGGCGGGGCTGCTGGCCGAGGGAGGTGGGCCGGAATGGATGAGCAGGTGGGCAGCGGGACGGATGAGCAGCTCCTGCGCACCTGACCCCACCCCTGTTACACTAACCTCCCATATCTGATCTGAAGGGCTCCTTCTGATTCCCCAGGTACTCCGAATCCTGACTCTGGGGTGACTAAAAACAAAGCCTCAGTTTCCCCTTCCATAAAATGGGGACAATCGGCCCTCCTCTGTCCATCCCCAGGACAGATGTAAGGATGGAAGGGTGGAAGTAACAGGCCCTCGTGGACTATGAAGGCAGAATGCAAACTGTGACCCTTGTATACATCAGCCAACGAAGAGCTCCCTACCTCCAGAAACTTCCCTTGATCATGACAGCTCATGGAGTGACAGGGCCAGCCACCCACTGCATTTAAGGGAGGTCGAACTTCCAGGAAATCTTGGGCTGAGGCACAGAGTGCAGAGAGTGCATCGAGTCTCAATGCTGGGGGAGGTGGGCAACAGCTGGGTGTTGTGGGCTCCGGCACCCTCTATCCTCAGTTTCCCTCCTTGCACGGGGCCAAGCTTGGCATGAGGGGCACACATCTGAATGAGACAGTGTGCCAGGCCCATCCTTGGCACTGCACACGTATTTACTCATCAGTCCTCACAGCCGCTCTTTTTGGTTGGTACTTTTACTGCCCCCATTTCACAGATGGGGGAACTGAGGCAGCCGTCCTTTTGAATTTTCTGCAGCAGTGGGGCCGGGCAAAGCCGACACCTCCGGCGCTCTCTAGCGAAGCGTCCTCCTCCCGCGGAGGGAGAAGGGCCTGGCAGGAAGAAACAGGACGCCTAGTACTATTACACAGACGCCGGCGGTGAGAAGCGGTGCAGGCTGAGGGAGGCGGGCGTGCAAGCTGTTCTTTTGTCGGAGCCGCCGGCAGGAAGGCCAGGGAGGAGGTGGGCTCTCCAGATCGTGTGCGGCCCCCTCCCCACCCCAGTGTCTGAATCAGAAGAACACGACTCCCCCCACTTTCCCATCTGCCGCGGGTGCAGGCTGTGTCGCGTGGGCTCCAGGCTGATGCCAGTTGGGCCCCTAGCCCAAGGTAGGGGGGAGGGATGATGATGCCATCACCCCCCACTCAGGTCCCGATGAGGCAGGAAAAGGGGGGCTCCGAGCCCACGGGCTGTTGCGCTGGGAGTCTGCGTGGGGTTTGGTGTAAGCACACAGGCCCTGAGCCAGCGCCGGGGTCCCGGTCCAGCTCTGCGCCAACGGGCTGGGCTCATTAGCGCTTGGCAAGAACGAGGCGGGCAGAGGAGTCATCCTCACCGTCACTACCGCGTGCCAGGTCCTGGCCAGGGAAGCACCGCGTGAACATTTCGCAGCCCTCTGAGCAATCTGGGGAGGTGAGGAGGCCCACACTACAGATGAAGGAACTGAGACAGCAAGGTGGAGTTTCAAGGCCCTTCTGATTCCAGAAGCTGTTCCCACTCTTCCCTCACGGTGTGGGTCTCAGGCTGCCAAGTGGGCACAATGCTGGCTGCCCCGCCTGCCAGGGGGGACCAACGGAAGAGGTTCTAGCGGCCACGAAAAGGCAGCGAGGGTCCAGCAGGCTATGTCAGACCATGGGGGAGGGGGAGGCAGCCTCACAGACGGGCCGGATGGGAGGGACCTACCTGGGCCAGGTGGCTTTGAGGTTGGGAGGATGCAGGGAAGACCCAGCCACCTTGTCCCCAGGTGGGGTCTGTTCCGTTCCTTTGGGGAGCAGAGGGAGGCAGGGTGCTGGGCCTCAGTGCACAGCTCACCCCTGCCCAGGACAGCGGCGCTGTGGGTGCGGACTCCTCACCTCCCCCCCCCGACCCCCACCCTCCACTCTTGTGTGAGTCTGTCGGGCTCAGCTTGGTCCCAGCAGCCCAGTGACCTTACGTCCAGCTGCTGTGCCTCAGTTTTCCCAGCAAAAAGGGTACGGCAATAATATCTCAGAGCATGGTAGTGATCACTAAGTGAGTTATATAATGCCCTTAGGGTAGCGCTGGCCTGTGAGGTGCTCTGAAGCATCAGTGATTATTGTTCTTACTACTTAAATGTCTCTTGAAGGGCCCCGCCCTTCTCCAACGCCAGCCATAAAGCTCTTTGTTTAATCGTTACATTGAGAGAAAAAGCAAGTCTCAGAAGACCAGTTAGATACCGTTTACATAAAGTTGCAAAGACTCTCAAAACTAGATCATGGATTTATGAAAGCAGGAAGAAACACAGGGGAGAGAGGAATGCAAATTCGGGACAGAGGTGACCCTCTGTTGGGGGCGGGCTGTCGGGGGCCGGGAGTTGGGAGGCTCTCAGGGGCACGAGCTGCTTGTAAACGTTCTATTTCTTGAGCCTGGACCCCCACCTGCATGGTGTTCTTTATACCTTTGTGTAAGCCTGAGATACTCTGCCATGATTGTCTTTTTTTTTTTTTTAACGTTTTATTTATTTCTGAGAGAGAGAGAGAGGCAGCGTGAGCAGTGGAGGGTCAGAGAGAGAGGGAGACACAGAATCTGAAACTAGCTCCAGGCTCTGAGCTTGCTGTCAGCACAGAGCCCGAGCGGGGCTCGAACCCACGAACCGCGAGATCATGACCTGAGCCGAAGTCAGCCGCCCAACCAACTGAGCCACCCAGGCGCCCCGACCGCCACGTGTCTTAAAAAACAAAAAACAAAAAACAAAAAACAGGAAAGGGATGCCTGGGTGGCTCAGTCGGTTAAATGCCCAACTCTTGGTTTCAGTTCAGGTCATGATTTCATGGTTCGTGAGTTCAAGCCCTATGTCGGGCTCCATGCTGATGGAGTGGAGCCTGCTTGGAATTCTCTCTGTGCCTCCCCTTTGTGCTCCCTCTCTCTCAAGATAAATAAATAAAAACTAAGAAAAAATAGAAAAAAAAAAAACAGGCAAAAATCCAGAAGTGGGGTCTCTGAGGGTAGAATCTAACCCTGAATCTTAATGGTAGCCTTACTTGGCTCCTCTGTCCCTCCCTAGTCCAGGCCACCGGCACCTGGGCAGCTCCTCCACTGGCCATTCTCCACACCTCAGGCGGGGTGGGGGTGGGGGGGCAGCCGCCTAACTGCAGATCCAACCTTGTTGCTTAAAATCCTTCAGTAGCTCCCTTCCCCCACTGATAAAGTCCCAGCCCCTCTGATCTCAGCCCTCACTCCCCCACCCCCTGCAGGCTACACTTCATTCCCACCTACAGTCACCAATGGCCCCCAGCTTCCTTCTCACCCCAGGGTGTACATTCTGTTCCTTCTGCTAAGA